CGCGACCACCGGCGGCAGCGGCGCGATCTCCGGCGGGCTGGGCGCGACCACCGGCGGCAGCGGCGCAATCTCCGGTGGGCTGGGCGCGACCACCGGCGGCAGCGGCGCAATCTCCGGTGGGCTGGGCGCGACCACCGGCGGCAGTGGCGCTATCTCAGGCGGGCTCGGCGTGATCTCAGGCGGACTCGGCACGATCTCAGGCGGGCTTGGTGTGACCTCAGGCGGGCTGGGCACGACCTCGGGGGGCGGAGGGGAGTAGAACTGCATGGGCGGCGGCGGCGACAGGTAGGCGAAGGACGGCGCCGGGATGACGGGCGGCGGCGATGCTTCCGGGGCGCAGCCGGGGGAGCCGGGAGGCAGAGAGGCCGAGTGGTGGTCGGACTCGGAGTACTGGTCCAGCAGCTCGTCCACCGTCAGCACCCTCGCTCCTGCTTGTTCACCCAACAAAACCATCAATCAGTGTGACGTTAGTGTTTTCTTACGCTAATTTAACTTAATTTGTACAAATTTCGCAGCATGTGCGGTCAAAATTTCAGTAAAATCAACCTATTAGCATGCTACTAAGATGAACCGAAAATGCACATACAATTGTCGGTAAGAATTGGCATAAATTTCAGCAAAATTTGGCGTAAAATTCCGGTAAGTGCGAGCAAAATTTTGTGAGGGGTGAAGGTGGCAAACACACCAAAGTTAAACTCAAGCTCGCGTCCTCTACACATGCTAGGAAAGAAGTGTGTAAGATGGATGAAAGGAACCAGGGGCATACATACCGCATTGCGCGACGAAGAAGGCGAGCACGACAACAATGGCGGCGAGGAGGAGAGGGCGCCGGGAGCTCTTGCATTCCCCCATGGCCGGCGTTTCTGTGCAATGAGGGGAATGGAGCTGGGGCTGTTGATATAGCCACGGAGGATGGCTGTGCAAAGGTTAAAGGTTAAAGGAGGAGGCATTGCAAATGCAGCAAAGCTACCAGCAGAATCCAGTGAAGTGAAATAGTGAGGGACGATTGAGCTTTAGTGTTCGGTATACACTGAGGCTGAGGCAGAGGCAGAGGCATGGAAATGATTGGATTCCTTGGTGGGTTTGAGGTTCTTTTCTCCTTTGGCAGTCTTGGCACAGATGCTTTGCTTGCTAGCTGCTGCCCAGAGAGAAATGGAGAGGATCCTCCTCCCTTCTCCAGCCGACTTCATGGCTCCTTTTTCCTCCTCATTTGCTTGGGATCCACTCAACATACGTCCCCACTCCACACACAAGTCAGCATGTTGTAAAATGTGTTCATGCACGCAAGGATCTTATTTATGGCATAATTTGCACGTACTAGCATTCTCAGAAAGTTCAGATTTGTGGCAAATTGAAAGGGCGCGAGATTAGTTCAAAAGAGCGGCGCAAAGCAGCAGACAGGCGGCATCTCAATAAGCTTGCGAAAGGTAAAGAGAAAAGATGAATAGTGCCGGAGAGAAGAATTGCATTTGCTAAAACAAGCAACACCTCTTTTGCTTTGCTAACAATGGATACACGATCACGCTGCTGTAAGGCAAAATAATGGTGCTAACAACATATGGTACTACCAGCAGTACAGCTGGTGGAAAGACACTGCTAATTTCATCCTCAGGTTTACAGAGCTGAAGATACTCATATCGTCAGTCATTCGACAACAGAACAAATGACTTCTAGGTCTAATTTCCATTCTCGATACGAAAAGACAGGACAAATGATGTCGAATCAAAATCTCCCAAGTCAGACCAACACAATCTTTCAACTGCAGTAGCTCAAGTCACTAACTAAGTAAATCAATAACAGGGGGATCCAGGATCACCGATTGCACGGCGTCCCTCCTATGGATGCACGGGTGAGCCCGTTGGTGAATCGCATCAAGCTGTTTACTGAACGCCGGGCGCAGCTTGTTTATGTCGATTGTCTAGAAAATGTAATATCTGATATTCTTCGATCGAACGCTGCATCAACCGAGCTCATCTGTCCACAAAAGTTTCGAAACAAAGAAAGGTGATATTAGATTTGATCTCTGCAACTTGGGAACAAATAACGGAGCATGAGAATTTCCTCTTTATGAACAAAAGTTGATGGCTCACAGGCCATATGAAAGCTGACCTGGAACCAAACTCTCACCACATTCTCGATCAAAATTAAGTTATAAATGCTACAGTACTGGCAGAAGCTCAGCCGCACGTGGTGAATCGCAAAAAAATATAAGTAATGCTTAAACTGAAATTAATACATACACGTTTGCGTACTGTCCAGGGCTTGGCCGACAACCCTCAAGTCATTAGCACCATGAGATTTGTCAGATTGTAAAAAAACTTACTAGCAGGAAGAACAATGTATGTAAATACCTACTTGGAACTCCTGATGTGCGCGAAATCAGCAGGAAATATAGATGATCAAACAAATAAACACCAAGGAGATGTCATGAAAATGTAAAAGGGTAGTATAATAGGGAACCATCTCACATACTCCCATCTGTTTCCAAATACTCAAAGTTCTGGGTTTCCCATAAGTCAAACATCTTTAAATTTGACCAAGTCTATAGAATCATTGTAGTTTCACTAGATTCAGATAAATATATTTTCATACTATAGTCGATGTATACATTGATATATTTTTCTCTAGACTTGGTCAAACATAAAGATGTTCGACTTAGGACAAACCTAGAACCTCCAAGTATTTTCAAACGGAGGAAAGTATGCAGCTAGCTACTGAAGGAATACATTTCATATTTCCATGAAAATTCAACATTTATTTCTCTCTTTCAAAGCTCATATATATTTTGTTCTACGGGTGCCGCACTCCAATGTTTTTTGAGAGATCATTGGTAATGGAAACATGAAGACCAGAACTTACCTGGCTAGTTTCATCATGCACCTGGTACATGGGCAGAGCCAACCTTCTTTCCTCCTACATAAATCAATAAATATTTTAGACATTACACTTGTATCTGGATGATCAAACATATTCCCAGGTCACCTGTAAGAATGAGAACAGAGGGAAGGGAATAAATACCATTGACATTGCTTCATCATCCCACACCAGATAGACCTCGCTCGTAGCTGGTTGAGTAGCAGACGTTTTACTATTAGTGGCAGGTGCAGGTGGATGTCCAACTGCTGGCCCTCCTGTACCTGGAACAGATGCATGCACAAGTGAATTCACAAAGGCCATGCCTAAACAACAAGAGCAAACATAAATATCAGATGGAGATACAAAACGTCAACGCAGAAATACCCCATCACATAAAATGAGCTATATAATGCTCCTAATATATATGTATATGTATTGTTTTAAACAAGAGATAAAATCTTGCTTAAATTCCTCCCAGGTGTTTATAATAAGATTTAACTAGTCCATATTGTTCTCTGATTTCCTTTCATATACTAGATACTCTATACGGTAGATGTGCTATATATGTAGGGATGAAAATGAAGCGGGAACTTTCTGGTTTTCCGGAGGAAATACGGAAATGGAAACAGAAACTTGCAAAACAGAAGCAAAAATGGAATTTTTTATGCGGAAACAAAAAAAAATGAAACGGTGGTTTCAGACAGAAAAAACACGGAAATGGATCTTTCCGTTTCCGTGAATATGGAATTTCCATTTTTACTATATATATATATATATATATATATATGTATATATATATATATATATATGGGCCTATGGCTCCTTTGTAGCAAAACCACCAAACAACACACAATGACAGTGACAAAATGGCCCATGTGAGGTCTGGCTTCTACTACTACACACATACTTAACTAGACCCTATGTGTAATTTTCCAGTACTACTACAATACTACACTAAGTCACTAACCTAATCATATTGTTTTGTAGCCATTTCAACAGTTGATTAAGTTTGTTGGTCTGCCTTTTGTTTTTCTTTATGGTTCAAGGGGTTTTTCAAGTTCCGGTGAACACCCGCTTCCGTTGCCGTGTCCGCTCCATGTTCGTTTCTGGTAGTATCTGTTTCAAATTCATTTTTGAGGTTTCTGTATTCATTTCTGCTTCCACACAAAAATATGAAAACAAATCTGGTAGCACCCAATTCCATCCGTTCGCGCTCTGTTTTCATCCCTATATATATATGTATGTCTCAAACAAAAAGCTAGCACATCTAAGGTGCTTAGACATAGGCGTCAAAAGTTCTGGGAAAATCAACATACCATGGTTATTAGCAACATAGCCATATCCTGCAGTACCAACTGATGCTGGAGAATTTGCTGCAATAGTTGCAGGTGAAATTGACGAGCTGAATGAGGAATTTGCTGCTCCATTGCCAGTGGTGTTAACAGGAAACAAAGGCTGGGAAGCCTGAGGGGCAACAGGTGAAGGAACCCCTGTGGTGGCCATAGGGTATGATGTCTGAAGTAAATTAGCAGGTGCTGATGTCATCATAGGATTGGGCATGTTTTGAATGGGAAATAGTGGTTGCTGTGGTGCTTGCCCAGCAATCATTGGGGGAACTGAAACCGGTGGTTGTTGAGCAAACCAAGGTTGCGGCTGCTGAAGAGGCCAAATCGGAGGTCGGACCATCATTGCAGGATTATACCTGTGAAAAAATGAGACAGAAATTAGAAGTTGTTCCAAAAAGAGTGCCAACAATACAATTGGACGCATATTTTAAGTAGACTGGAACTAAAAAATTAGATAGAAGAAAAAGGAGATCATACATAGGGCGGGCTGCACCATAAGGCCGAGGAGGAAAAGGCATGCCTAGCGGATAATTAGGCATAATAGGAGGTCTTATTGTCGGCACTTCTACTTTGGCCACCTTTGAAGGTTCTTCCTCTGCATGTGGAACACGTGTAAAAGGTTAGACGACATAGTATTGGAGGGAAATAACTTGGCAGGCCCTTACTTACACTGCCCGCCAAAAACAAAAGGTTCAGCGCTTACATGTAATTTAAAGGTTAAAAAACATGCTTATTGTAGAGATAGAACATGGTAAGTTCAGCAGTTAAGGAATATTAAATGTAAAGGTTAACAACATGCTATGCAGGAAATTACGCGGCAAGTTCAGCTTTTAAGGAATCCCCTACAAGTTTAAGCGTGACTAACCAGGCCAACGCTGAGGCGGTCTGGTGTTTCGCTGAGGCTGGATGGTGGGCCTTTGGGATGGTCTTGCGTGTGGTCATTCCCTGAGAAAGGTAGCTATTTCACTTTGCGTGGCTGCGTCTGGGCCTATGGGATGGGGTGTGGGGCCCTGCCTTGGCTGCCGCACTTGTGCGTGGATGTGCGATGTGTGTGCATGGATTCTTTTTTTTTTGTCGGTGTGTTAGCCGAACTGTGGGCCCGGCTGTGCGTGTGTTGCTGTTTCCATGTGCGCAATGGTGGTGGGCTACTGGGTCGCTGCTAATTACACCACAGCCAGGGAGCGGTGCCAAGTAGCATGTAGCTCCGCCACAACGATACATAAATGCACACCGTTGGCCAAGCTAACAAAAATTTCATTTATACATGTACCAAACACCACTATATTTGAACGCAGTGGAGCACGCCACTCCGCCTTGTCAAATGTAAAGGTTAAACAACATGCTTGTTGGAGAGAAATAACAAGGCAAGTTCATACCAACATGTATGTAAAGGTTAAACTACATGCTATTGGACAGAAACAACATGGCAACTTCAGCGCCAAGGAAAACTACTCATAAAGGTTAAACAACATGCCATTGGAGAGAAATATCATGCCCAATTGAACTCTCGGGCGGAGGGTCTTTCGTTTGCTGATGGATAATTATGCTCAGGCGTGAACCACGTACGTTCGACGTTTAGACGATATTAAGGAATCCAATAATTTGCGGCGTGATTGGCCATCATCACAAGCAAAACTATTCAACAGAAGCAACCAACACTGCCATCCAGATTACAGCGGAGAAAATAACTAGAGCAAATACTCTGGTCTATGAAGAATTTTATTAGTAGAGAAACGAAAAGCCACAGTGGAGAAAATAAGCAAGCCGCCGCGGTTACCTTCCCCATAGTGGGCGGCGAGCACGTCTGAGGGGATCCCCTGCATGCCGAAGATCTCGATCTCGGTGGAATCCCTCTCGGGCTTGGCATTCGGAACCCTGCGGCCAAAGGAAAAACAGATTAGACACCGAGCAATCAGAGCCCCGTCTACCGCGGCACCGGCACGGATCCAATCGAGGGTGGGGTAACCCCGAATCTGGGCCGCCCCGGCAAGGAGGAGGCGCAGATCCATGGCTAATAGGAGGAGAAGAGAGGGGGGAGGAGGAGAGAGGGCGCGCACTTGGTGACGGACTCCTTGTGGACCTGGAGGACGTGGATGGCCATGCCGCCGGCGGTGGAGAGCTTCTTGTGGCAGACGTGGCACTTGAAGTGCTTGGCCTTCTGGTGCTGCACCAGGATCTTCTCGTCGTCGAACTCCCGGTCGCAGTAGTAGCAGAACACCTTCTCCACCCGCTTCTTCTTCTTCCCCATCCCCGCGCCCCCGCTCCCTCTCCCCGGCCCTCTCCGCCCTCCGGCGAGGTAGCTAGGGTTTCGTTCGGCGACGCCGCGGCGGAAGGAAGGAGGGAGGGGAGGAGGCGGCGAGAGCACGCGAGTCCTCGGTGCGATTTGGGCCGCGGGGGGGATGACGGGGTCGGTGCGGGGGCTCGGAGGGGGAGTTTGTAAATATGGCGTGGCTGACGTGTGGGGCACCACGGGCTCCCTTGGGAGGGACTGCGCCTTTTTTCCTTTGCGGCCCCTTGGGTTCAGTTGTTTTGCGGTCTGCCCCTTGCCCGTGCCCGTGACGCTGCGCGCGGGCTTGGGATGGGCCTGCCCGTTCGTTGGAGCCGCTGGGCCGCGTTTGGGCACTCTCCGGGCTCCCGTGTTCCGGCTGATGGATCAAACTCCACGCTTGGGTGGTGGTGGTGGGTGAGGCGTTTTGGGTTCCCTCGGACGTGCTCGCCGTTAGAGGGAATCCCCTGCATCAGTGGCGGAGCTACACAGCCAAAGTTGGGCGGGCCGGCATGAAGGAAGATCACTAGTTTTTGTTCTCATGGCCCAGTTTACTTCAATCTGACACTGCATTTGCTGTGGGATGGGCGGGCCATGACCCATTTTCATCACACGTAGCTCCGCCAGTGCCCTGCATGCCGAAGGAAGCATGGCAGGGGTGGAAGAAACGAGCCCAACTTCTAAGCTGCTTTTTTGTGCACGAGGAAGGTGCGGACGAATTCGTCTTTGAAGAAGAAATGATCGATGATCCACCCAAGAAGGCAAAGAGGTTTTAGCCCTAGCGCTCTGATTGCGGGCATGAAATCGTCATGAAACCCAGCTAAAGAGGTGGTTCGGAGGCGGTTTGGTGACAACCTCTTCATAGTGCAGTTCGGATGTTTAGTTGATTGGAATAAGGCAATGGTGATGTGTCCGTGGTTCTTTAGGAATCGGGCTTTGTTAATGGAGGCGTATATGAACCCTACGATAGTGGTCCTTGACAAACCTGTGATCTGGGCACGGTTACATAAGCTAACTGATAGGGGATACCATGGAGGTTCATATCAGGATACATGTATGGTCCATTGAAATATTTGTGAGACTTCGTTTTAAGATAGAAGTACACCGGAAAATCGTGAGATTTGTGTCAATAACGAAGGGGGTGTGTGAGAAAGAGTGGTATCAGGTTATTAAGTGGCGTCGTATCTTATGAATCCGGCATCTTCGTGCACCCCTGTATCCTCTCGTTCTCAGTCATCCGATTTAAATCCTGCGTGTTTGCTCAGTTGTAGGAATTTTTGCACTAAGCCGCCCGCCTCCGGTCCTGGACGGCCGTAAGTTAATCGTGCAGATTTGCAAGGGCACCCCTCCAGAGACCAGACGTGCGAAACCCACGTTCCCGATCACCATGGCGGCGGCCTGCGGCTAGAGACGAAGAACTCTCGTACGCCCTAAACTTGCAGATGACTGGATCCTGGTTGCACGCGTACACGCACAGGTTAATACAACATCCCAAATCCATTTCTTCTGCCCCTTGCCTTGCGGTGCCCTGTTCCTACTGAAAGCAGATCGCTTCGCTTCAGGTCTTCAGGAGCATTATATTGGGAAAAACAATGCTCTGTATGAGGGAAAACATTGATCCACTACTTATTATTGGGAAAAACAATGAACCAAATCACTTCTCAAAACTTAATTCTCGTTAACTTGATGCAAACATAGGTTTCTGTGGTGGATATGTTGTGATTGAACTTAATGGGATGTACGTCGATTTAACGCATATTTACTGTTTGAGATTATGCTAGTTTGGTAGTGAAACAGAGTTGTACAAAATGTATCCTGAATGAAACAGAGTTGGGAATCGCTGGTCTAGATTTTACATGCACATACATCTACATTGTCGAGGGTCTGTAATATTGTACACTTATTGTCATTTGAATATCAGTGGCCAGGTCTGTCAGTTAGCGTTGGGCTAAATCCATATTGGGATGTATTTCTCTCAAATTGTGTGTCGGTTTTCTGGTTAGTTCTAAAGGCTTATCATGTACCTGTTGGTGCAGGTGCAGCAATGGGATCTACAAATATGTGGCAGATTCACATGAACGAGGAAGGCTTTAACACACCCATAAAGAAAGCAAGTGTTCCTCTCTATGTAAGTCAATTGCTATCACCGAACATAGGCGTATTCATTTTACTTATTTGTACATGTAAGTGCATATTGATTCATTGTTTATGTTGCAGTGCTCGTCCTTTATACCTGAATGTGAAGATGATTTGAAGCCTAAAGTGGGGATGACGTTTGAAGCATTGAAGGCCGTGGAGGAGTTCTACAAATCTTATGCACATCAATCTAGTTTTGGAGTTCGTATTGGGCAACAGAAGAAGTTAGAAAATGAGGTAGTTCGCACTAAACGATACATGTGCAATAGACAAGGATTCAAGTCTGAAGTGAAGGAAATATGCCCTAGAGGCAATAATAAAGTTATTATTTATTTCCTTATTTCATGATAAATGTTTATTATTCATGCTAGAATTGTATTATCCGGAAATATAATACTTGTGTGAATACATAGACAAACTAAACGTCACTAGTATGCCTCTACTTGACTAGCTCGTTAATCAAAGATGATTATGTTTCCTAACCATAGACATGTGTTGTCATTTGATTAACGGGATCACATTATTAGGAGAATGATGTGATTGACATGACCCATTCCATTAGCTTAGCACCCGATCGTTTAGTATGTTGCTATTGCTTTCTGTTGGGGAACGTTGTAGAAAACAAAAATTTTCCTACGGTTTCACCAAGATCCATCTATGAGTTCATCAAGCAACGAGTTATTAGATGCATCTACGTACCTTGTAGATCGCGAGCGGAAGCGTTCAAAGAACGGGGATGAGGTAGTCGTACACGACGTGATCCAAATCACCGGAGATCCTAGCACCGAACGGACGGCACCTCCGCGTTCAACACACGTACGGAACAGCCACATCTCCTCCTTCTTGATCCAGCAAGGGGGAAGGAGAGGTTGAGGGAGATGGCACCAGCAGCAGCACGACGGCGTGGTGTTGATGGAGCTGCAGTACTCCGGCAGGGCTTCGCCAAGCACTATGGAGAAGGAGGAGGTGTTGGAGAGGGAGAGGGAGGCAACCAAAGGCCAAGGTGAGAAGTCCCCCATATCCCCCACTATATATAGGAGGGCCAGGGGGGGCGGCCCTAGGAGATCTAATCTCCTAGGGTGGTGCGGCCAAGGGGGAGGAATCCCTCCTCCCCAAGGCACCTAGGAGGTGCCTTCCCCTCCTAGGACTCTTCCTCCTTGAAACCCTAGGCGCATGGGCCTCTTGAGGCTGGTGCCCTTGGCCCATGTAGGCCAAGGCGCACCCCCTACAGCCCATGTGGCCCCCCGGGACAGGTGGCCCCACCCAGTGGACCCCCGGGACCCTTCCGGTGGTCCCGGTACAATACCGATGACCCCGAAACTTGTCCCGATGGCCGAAATAGAACTTCCCATATATAAATCTTTACCTCCGGACCATTCCGGAACTCCTCGTGATGTCCGGGATCTCATATGGCACTCCAAACAACATTCGGGTTACTGCATATACATATCCCTACAACCCTAGCGTCACCGAACCTTAAGTGTGTAGACCCTACGGGTTCGGGAGACATGCAGACATGACCGAGACGACTCTCCGGTCAATAACCAACAGCGGGATCTGGATACCCATGTTGGCTCCCACATACTCCACGATGATCTCATCGGATGAACCACGATGTCGAGGATTCAAGCAACCCCGTATACAATTCCCTTTGTCAATCGGTATGTTACTTGCCCGAGATTCGATCGTCGGTATCCCAATACCTCGTTCAATCTCGTTACCGGCAAGTCATTTTACTCGTACCGTAATGCATGATCCAGTGACCAGACACTTGGTCACTTTGAGCTCATTATGATGATGCATTACCGAGTGGGCCCAGTGATACCTCTCCGTCTCACGGAGTGACAAATCCCAGTCTTGATCCGTGTCAACCCAACAGACACTTTCGGAGAAACCTGTAGTGCACCTTTATAGTCACCCAGTTACGTTGTGACGTTTGGTACACCCAAAGCACTCCTACGGTATCCGGGAGTTACACGATCTCATGGTCAAATGAAAAGATACTTGACATTGGAAAACTCTAGCAAACGAACTATATGATCTTGTGCTATGTTTAGGATTGGGTCTTGTCCATCACATCATTCTCCTAATGATGTGATCCCGTTATCAATGACATCCAATGTCCATAGTCAGGAAACCATGACTATCTGTTGATCAACGAGCTAGTCAACTAGAGGCTTACTAGGGACATGTTGGTGTCTATTATTCACACGTGTATTACGATTTCCGGATAATACAGTTATAGCATGAATAAAGACAATTATCATGAACACGGAAATATAATAATAATGCTTTTATTATTGCCTCTAGGGCATCTTTCCAACAGTCTCCCACTTGCACTAGAGTCAATAATCTAGTTACATTGTGATGAATCGAACACCCATGGAATTCTGGTGTTGATCATGTTTTGCTCTAGGGAGAGGTTTAGTCAACGGATCCGCTACATTCAGGTCTGTATGTACTTTACAAATCTCTATGTCTCCATCTTGAACATTTTCATGAATGGAGTTGAAGCGACGCTTGATGTGCCTTGTCTTCTTGTGAAACCTGGGCTCCTTGGCAAGAGCAATAGCTCCAGTGTTGTCACAGAAGAGCTTGATCGGCCCCGACGCATTGGGTATGACTCCTAGGTCGGTGATGAACTCCTTCACCCAAATTGCTTCATGTGCTGCCTCTGAGGCTGCCATGTACTCCGCTTCACATGTAGATCCCGCCACGACGCTCTGCTTGCAACTGCACCAGCTTACTGCCCCACCATTCAAAATATACACGTATCCGATTTGTGACTTAGAGTCATCCAGATCTGTGTCGAAGCTAGCGTCGACGTAACCTTTTACGACGAGCTC